TTCTGTCTCGTTCCGTTTCCCGTCATGGCGCTGGTTTCGGCCGATTCTCGCATCGCGGAGCTGCTGGGGGAGCTGCACCAGCTCATTAAACAAACGCAGGTACCAGAATTTCGCAGAATTTGGGGTTTATTTCCTTTTAGAATCTCCCGTTTTTTTTTTCTTTAACGTTCCTTTTAGGATTTGCCGTTTCTCCTCAGGATCCCGCATTTCCCTTCCCCGATTTTCGTTTCTTCCGATTTTCCCCGATTAATCCTCAGCGATCTTTTTATTTCCCCTCAGGGATTCCAAAATCCCCCAATTTCCCCTCACAAATCCCCCAAAATCATCCATTTTCCCCTCAAAAATCACTTTTTTTCCCCTCATGAGCCCCAAAATCACCTATTTGTCCTCAAAAATCACCTATTTCTCCTCAAGGACCTCAAAAATCACCAATTTCCCCTCAAAAATCACCTTTTTCCCACAAAAAAAATCACTTTTCCCCTCACAAAACCCCCAGGATCACCCATTTTCCCCCCAAAATTCACCTTTTTTCCCCTCTCATAGACCCCCAAAATCGTCTATTTTGTCCTTAAAATTGACCTTTTTTCCCTCATGAACCCTAAAAAAATTTTATTAATTCCAACCCCGATTTCCTCTCCAAAATCTTCAATTATTTTCAGCAAATTTCTCCCATTTTCTCTCAAAATTCCCCTTTTACTAACCCAAAAATTCCTAGTTTTTTTCCTTCAAAAATCTCCAATTTTCCACTCAAAAATCCTTCATTTTTCCCTCAAAAGCGCCCATTTATTACCCTAAAAATCCTCAATTTTCCCTTCAAAAATCCCCATTTATTACCCCAAAAATCCCCTATTTTTTTCCTCAAAAATCCCCTTTATTAACCCAAGAATTTCCAATTTTTCCTTTAAAAATTCCTAATTTTTTTCCTTCAAAATCCACAATTTTCCCCACAAAAATCGCCTTTATTAACCCAAAAAATCCCCAATTTTTTTCCTTTAAAAATCTCCATTTTTCCCCTCAACAATGCCAATTTTTTCCCTCAAAAATCCCCATTTATTAAACTAAAAATCCCCAATTTTTCCTTCAAAAATCCCCATTTATTACCCCAAAAATCCCCGTTTTTTTCCTTCAAAAATCCCAAATTTTTCCCTCAAAAATTCTCATTTATTACCCCAAAAATCCCAAATTTTTCCCTCAAAAATCCCCATTTATTACCCCAAAAATCTCCATTTTTTTCCTTCAAAAATCCCCAATTTTCCCTCAAAAATTCTCATTTATTACCCCGAAATTCCCCAAATTTCCCTCAAAAATCCCCATTTATTACCTCAAAAATCCCCAATTTTTCCCTCAAAAATCCACATTCATTACCCCAAAAATCCCCATTTTTTTCCTTCAAAAATCCCAAATTTTCCCTCAAAAATCCCCAATTTTTC